ATGTTTGTGATGTGTGTATGGAAAGAGAAGAAGCAGAGAGAGGGAGAGAAAGGGTGTGCATGCGTGTGAGAGAGAAAAACATACTTTTGTTTCAGGATGACATGATTGGTGAATGATGACATTTAAGAACATTGGCGTTGCATCTTTTGCAAGTAGCACATATTTGTGTTTTATGAATATGCTTGAGAGCCAGATCTAAGCCTGACAACTAAATGATTGCTGACTTACACTTGTTTTCTTAAAAACAACTAAATAACATTCTTTTAAAAAATTTTTTTTGCTGTGCAGACGCTCAAGGGAGGCATGTGGGAGGCTCTGAGGAGGTCTTTTATGCTGTCTGTAGAAAATGATAAATTGCACAGAGTCCAGAATCCATCATCGCCACTTTCAGGCCCTCATCAGAGGATTAAGTGCTTTATTTGCTCACAATTCTGTGACTCTCAGCACTGCAGGCTGTGGGGAGCATAGCAGCTCTGCTCCCTGATGTCGCCTCATAGCTTCCATGCACTGTCCTGGGTCCCAGGCTGTGATGGGCCCTATGTGTGCTGTAAACCCTGGGCTAGAGCCGGTAGGAAGTCCTTCAGCCTTCTAAGGTCTGCTGAGGATGAGCCACAAGGTTTTGAGTGTGAGTTAAGCTGTCAGTCATGGAGCTGGTGGGAGACAGTTGACCCTCCTCCATAAACCTGCACTGAGCACACGCAGGAACTCAGTGCTCAGGGCTCCAAAATCAAATCCATGCACATAGTAAACAGACGAACCATTTCCAACCATCTCCATGCCCTTCCTGACCATCACTTCCTTCCCTCAACACTAGTTTTGTTTGTTTGTTTGTTTGGCTTTTGGAGTCATACCCGGCAATACACAGGGGTTCCTCCTGGCTCTGCACTCAGATACTACTCCTGGCGGTGCTCAGAGGACCATATGAGATGCTGGGGATTGAACTCGGCTAGGCTGCGTGCAAAGAAAACGCCCCTCGACGCTAGTTTTCTAAGCATCTCATATTCAGGTCCTAGCCAACAGAATCAAGATGTTCCATTCAGTCAGGGCCGGGGAAGCTTTCTCCTGCCAAGTGCCATTTGGATATTTATAGCATTATCCTCAGGCCAGACTATACAGGCAGATGGGCTGCAGGCATCCGACGAGAAGCATCCCTGTCTGTCCCATCACATCTCAGAGCCAGACCACAGGATTTCATAGGCATTATATGTCCCACAGGCCAGACGTTCCCCACCACTGCCTGCATCTCTGACTGTCCTTAACTCCCAGGTCTGAAAGAGGCTCGGGGGACTGGAGCAATAGCACAGCCTTGCATGTGGCCAACCCAGGTTTGATTCCCAGCATCCCATATGGTCCTCTGAGCACTGCCAGGAATAATTCCTTAGTGCATGAGCCAGGAGTAACCCTTGTGCATTGCCGGTTACTGTAAAGTTGATAGACTGTCCCCCAGGCCCTTTCTCTGGTTATAGGGAGGTGTAGTGTGGGGGCCGGCCAGCTTCAATCGAGACAAATATCTACTTAAGTCTAAAGTCTCAGGGAAAAAGGCACCTAAGTCTTCAGGACACTAGTAGTTTAAGACCTAAACATTCTAAACAAAAACGGTGAACATAGCTAATTGTTTACTAATAATTCATGTTTCTTATTTGAAATGCCCCCCACAAATTATATGTGCATAAGGGTCCATGAAATGCAAATCCTTCCCACTCATAAAAGAAATAGGACAATGCCAAAGAGTTTGTTTGTTTTTTATTTTAATTTCACACCACCAGGATGGGAACAATTTTAAGAAAATGTTCTTTCTAAGACCAAGTTCCAGGGTAAGAATGTGGAAATGGCATATGGCTCAGGCTGAATTCAACAGGCAAGTCTGAGAGAAGCTCCCTGAAATGCTTTTATAATTTCGTTTGGACCTGTGCTTTCAGAAATCCATAATATCAGTGAGATTAACTTTACAAATTGCTGGCCAACACAGAGAGAGGACTGGCAGGTCTAATCTCTACATTTGTGAGATACTTTCTTCCATGCCCTGACACTGGTGTCTGGGAGTCTGGTGGAATTTTTGCACCAGGAAGCTAGTGCTGGCATCCCAGAACCAGGCCATTAGGCTGGCAGGGTCTGGGCTGTTGTGTATTGCACCGCTAAGTTCTAGAGAGGAAATAGCAGACATGCAAGGCAGGTCCTTTCCCTCGAGAAAATTAGAGTCTATTTGGAAAGAAAACACTGGCTCTGAAATCCTGCACTGTTGATCTTTCCCATCTCTCTTTGGGAATTATGGCATAATAAGTCTTAAAGGGACTTCCTAACAGATAATTTTGCCAGAGTGCCTGGTAGTCGTATTCCAACCTCCTCCCATGGTTCACGAGTCTGGACACAGGTGACTGAGGCTTCGTGAACCTTCCCAGCTCATCCCGCCTGACCCAGGTGATGGAGTCTGGCCACCTGCTATAGCACCACTGAGAATTGCTCAGGGGTGAACAGTTCCAGGAAATGAGCTGGCAAGTCCAACAATTAAAAAATAATTAATGGAGTCTTACAAACTTCTTCCCCAGGGGACCGGGGTGTGAACTTTCAAAGGAGAGAGACTGTCTCAGTTCTCCTAACAGCTTTGTATCCAGGGAATTGAGCAAAACAGATTCTGTGGCATGTGATCTATTTCTTTTCTATGAAAACTTTTTGAGGTTACCTTGATTTATGACATGGATGTTTAGGGCATGTAGAATTAACATCAGACATCTGTAGATATACATTGGGGGTCCCAGAAAAGTCTAGTTTCCATCCATCACCATACGTGGGGCCTCTTTTGCTAGTTTCACCAACATCCCATCCCCTTTTCTGACAACCGTTCTCTATAACTACATTTATTTTTTACCATCGTTTTTTGTTTTTGTTTTGGGGGGGTTTGGGGATTTTTTGTTTTTGTTTTTGTTTTGTGTTTTGGTATGTGTGGGGTGGGGGGGTGTGGGGGTATGTGTATGTTTGGCTTCTTGATATTCCATATGAGCCATGGCATGCAATTTGAATAGCTGTGCTTGACAGGGTTTGGTGTCCTTGCTTTTGGAGAAGAGCTGGAGTTCAGCTGCCAAGGGAGACTCACCATTCCAGTAGAAAGAGCAGAAGTCATAAGTCCTAAGATTTCCCCAGATCAGTGCACCCTGATGCAGAGAAGTTGGAAATTTGAGAGATGAGACAGAAAGAAAAAAAGGATGGCAGGCAGGATCTGTGGAACTTTTAACAGCATACCAAATACCTGATCTCCAACAAACAGGCAAGTCAGTCACCTTCCCTTGAATAAATCTGTGATTCCCGGAAACTCTTTTGAGAAAACTCTAGAGGATAATTGCTTCTATTGTTGCACCCTCTATAGAAGATAGATTTTATGGAGGAGTGACACAGGGGGATAGTCATTCATTCAACAGATATACATTGAGCACCGTGACATGCCAGATTCACTAAAAATAAAACAAAGCTCTACCCTGGTGGTGAGTGGAGTTAGTGAAGGTCAGTAAATGTTAACTTCTAGATAAAGCCTGTAGGAAGGAGAAACCATAGTTAATGGAAAGCAGAATAGGCACCTGGGTCCTGTTTGCGGGTCAGCAAAATAACAAAATACTTCCAAGGAAATAAGGGCAGAGATGGAGGACAGATAAGAAGGAACACTGATAAGCTAGGAATGGAACTCAGTAGAAGATCACATGCTTCTCATGTATGATGTCCTGGATTTGATTCCTGCTGCCAACCAAAACACAGACACAGACCACAGACACACAGACACACACACACACACACACACACACACACACACACATAATTTAAGCCATGATAAAGGGGACCTAGAAGACAGAACAAGTTCCAGTCCCCTGTGATGCAATGGAGAGAGCAGAAGTTTAGAACAAAGTTGTTTAATAGAACATTCCACAATGATGGAAATGCTGTGTCATTGGCTCTGTCCAAAAGGGTTACCTCTAGTCATATTTGTCTACGTGGAGTTGAAATGAGACCAGAACAAAATGTTTCATTCTATTTAACTGGAATTAAATGTAAATAGCCACCTGTAACTATTCACTATTGCATTCACTGAAAACGGACCCGTTGAGGAATGTTTTGAAAAGCGTAGAAGCCTGGAATGTTTCTGGACAGGTTGCTGACAGAATTATGTTTGCCTTTGGAAAGACTCATTTTGGTTAGAGTTAGAGGAAATTATTAAAAGGAGTCAGAATGGAAGTTGCCCCATAGACGGCTATGAAAAAGTCCCAGTGAGCAGGCAGAGTTAAGAGGCTGGGAAGAGCTGTTTACTTATTTTTGTTCATTATGAAGAATTGTGGATCCTTGATTACTTACAACAACAAAGTCAGCTGTGGTATCCAAGCATCACAATTACCTGCTCTGGATCCTGGATTTAGTGAGCACAGTCTTTATAGCAAGACTGCAGGAAATGCCATGCTTCCTGACCAAATCTAACACATCAGTATTTTATACCAAATCTAGGTGATCAGATGAAATGGACACACCAAGGATGACTTCTAGGAGCCTGGCTCAGCGCCCTTTCCCCCAGGTAGACAGTGGTCTCCATCATTGGTTCCCTTTCAGAGCTTCTCTCCCCCACACACCCTAAGCTGTTCTGTGCATTGCGGCCAGCAAATAAGACACAGAGTCATCTTTAGGAGTCAGCAGTACCTGAAAATTTTACTCTTGAAAAAATTATTCTAGAAAACTGGTTCTCCAGAGACAGAAACAGTAACTTCTCTAAAGAAGACATACAGATGGTGCACAGACGTACAAAAAAAAAAGTCTTCCGTATCACTTATCATTAGGGAAATGTGGATCAAAGCCACAGCAAGCTGTTCCCTCACCCTGGTGAGAATAGTCTGTGTCCAAAAGACGGAAAACAGGTGTTGGTGAGGATGTAGAGAAAGATAAATGTGAGCACACTGTGGGTGGTAATGTGACTTGGTGCCACTTCTGTGGAAAATGATAGAAAGATTTCTTTTAAAACATTAAAATGGATACTTACCTGGCAGGGGAGATACCATGATCACAAAGGTCATTTTCTTACAGTGAGACTCATCCATTGCACTCCAGATGCAGAACCCTGCGATTTCCCCAAATGTGGGAAACTTGACTGCCTAATGTGTGGTAGTCGGGGACTGAATTCACAATCTCCCCTAAAAATACAGTACAGTGTGTAAGGCACTTGCTTTGCATGCGGCTGACCTGGGTTCTATCCCTGGTATCCCTTATGACCCCTCGAGTACAGCCAGGGGTGATCCCTAAGAACAGAGCCTAAGTAAGCCCTGAGCACTGTCAGGTGTGGCCCAAAAAGCAAAGATATATTGAAAAGAAATTAAAATAGAGCAACAGAGATAGTCAAATGGACTGTGACGTGAGCTTTGAAGGCGGAAGCTCCGGTTCCATTCCCAGCACATTATTCCTTGAACTCGGCCAAAAATGAGCTCTGAGAACTAAGCTGGGAATAGTACCTGAGCATGTCAAGGTATAGATCACCCCAAAACAAACAATAAATGTTTTAAATAATAAAAAATGGAAATTCCATATGATCCTAAACCCTTCTTAGGCACTTATCAGAAGGATAGGAAAACAAGAATTCAAAAGGATAACTCCATCCCTACTTTCGTGGTGATATTAACCACAATAGCAGAACATGGAACTCATCTTAGTTGCCCATTGACAGATGCTGGATAAAGAGATTGTGTATTCTTAATGGAATTCTACTCTGCAAATTTATTTGTTTGGGGTTTGGAGTCATATCCAGAAGTCCTTAGGAGTTACTCCCAGTTCTGTGCTCCAGAATTGCTTCCAATGACACTCAGGAGACCATACAGTTCTGGGGATAGACATCAGAGACCCGGGACCAGAGCGTTAGCTCAGTGAGTAGGGCACTTGCCTTCCAGGTGACCAAGGTTGGTTTGATCCCCAGCATCCCACATGGACCTCTGAGCACCGCCAGGAGTGATTCCTGAATGCAAAACCAGGAGTAAGCCCTGAGCATCACCCAGTGTGACCCAAAAAGGAAAACGAAATAAATAGATCCCCACACTTGCCAGGCATGTGCTTCCTCACTTGAGCCACATCCCCAGGCCTATAGATGCCTTTAAACCAGGACTTGACCAACCAGGGTCTGTGGAACAAAAGAGGCCAATGATGCCCTGGTTTAGGGAAACCAAGTTGTACTAGACCCGTTTTACCTGTTCATTTATGCGTTGTGGGCACTTTCCTTCTTCAGTAGCAGAGTTGAGTTGTTGAAACACAGACCTTTGACCTATGAAAGTGAACATCTTTGCTCTCCATCCTTTCTGGAGATAAACAGTTGTCTGGACACGTGGGTTGGCAGCTCCAGGGCACAGGGCATGCACAGAATCCTCAGCAGTCATGTTCATCAAAAGCACAGAGAGTGTCAGGAGCCAGGCTGGAGGGAGGAAGACGGGGGCAGGGCTGTCCTGTGGAACATGAGCATCTTATGCCGACCAGGAAGCTGGAATCCAGAGACCAAGAGCTCCAAGCTGTAGGAGCAAAAATCAAGAGTGAGCTCTCCCATTCCAAAGGTCAGAATAGCATCGTCCACACCGCCCACTGGCTTCTTCGTTTGGGGACATTGAAAGTTATTATTTCCTTCCAGAGAATCAGCCTGTACAACTGTGCACAAAAAAAGCATGTTTTCTTCCAAAGTTTCCCAATCATCATGCTTTAATTTGGGGGAGTGGAGGGCAATATAACTAACAACATAGAGAGATGTACCTTTTAAAGTGTGTAACCTTGAAACAGAGAGAAAGAGAGGGAGAGAGAGAGACAGAGACAGAGACACAGAGAGAGAACCTTCTATTATTTATCCTGACTCATGTGGCCTCACCCCTCGCCCACAGATTTCCCTTATTTAGGATGTTTTCTTGCTCTGTACGCACATACTTCTAGCCCTTTTTCTATTAACATTATTTTTAGGAAAATTTCCCCAGGGTGACCAGGCTGAGTTAGCAAAGGGTCTTTCCCACAACCGGCTCCAGATATTCTTAACTGAGTGAAGGCTAATGATAAATAGCCAACTAAATTTGGGACATGTTGGTTGCATCGAAACTCACTGTCTCCTTTCCTTAACTCTTTGAAGTTCTTCCTGTGCCTTGGGTAGAATGTTTGTGACCCTCCAGGAGGGGTAGTAATGAATCTTCTCAGCAATGGCCAGAATTTTCTGCACCAAACCTCCTTCCCCTTCTTACAGAGGCAGCTGTCTGAGTGCTAGTGTGATGAGGAACAATTACCCAATGATCTAGCTCTGATCAGTAATCTGAGCGAAGTCATTCTAGATCCAGTACCATAGCCCTCAACCAAAATATAAGGAGGGGGGTTGATGTATAATATTTGGGGTGAAACAATTTGAAAACCAGATTCATGTTGATTTATAACCTCCAAATCTCTCCAGTATTCTGTAACCCACTTATTCCAAAAATAGACTCCATATATGGGCAGATGTTGGTGCCAGCTGAATGCTACTCATTTGATAATCAATATAAGTGCACACGAGGGGCTGCACTGGGTTTTATAGGATGTACTTTTGTCCAGTATCTTTTAGTAGCAACATGATTCAGTACCACTCAGAATCTTGCAAGTGCCTTGGAAGTAGGAGTTGCCTGGGAATTGGAGGGGTGAGGGGTGGGGGGCAAGAGAAAAATCATCTCCAGGCACGGGGTTGGCAAACCTTCAGAGGGGAATTTCTCTGGGATTAGGGTCCTGGCAGCAGGGAAGGATTTCTGGAGAAAATGCAGAAGAAAGCCCCGGTTCCAAGGGAAGATTGTCTTGACATGTTAAACCAGGAGATTAGGAGGAGCATGGGATGGGGTGGCGGGGCTGGGGGTGGGGGTGGGGGGGTAAGTATCCAAGAAGCTCTAGAAGAAAATGCTGTGTCTAAAGTGTAATGAGAGGGGTGGGAGGGATACTGCAATCACTGGTGGTAGAGGATGGGCACTGGTGGAGGGATGGGTACTCGATCATTGTATAACTGAAACCCAAGCACAAAAACTTTTAAGTCTACAACTGTACTTTATGGTGTTTCGCTAATAAAAATTAAAAATAAATAAATAAAGTGTAATGAGAGGGGCTGGAGCGATAGCACAGTGGATAGGGTGTTCACCTTGCACGCGGCCAACCCGGGTTCGATTCCCAGCATCCTATATGGTCCCCCCGAGCACCATCAGGAGTAATCCCTGAGTGCATGAGTCAGGAGTAACCCCTGTGCATTGCCGGGTGTGACCCAAAAAGCAATAAAAATTAAAATAAAAATAAATTAAGTGTAAGAGAGCTCAGGGATAGCCAGTGTCTCCAGGAGGAGAGATGGTTGCGATCCCACTGTGCCCAGTTGAGTTGGCAGCGATGAGGCCCAGAGTAAAGCAGAATGGGTGGGGTAGGTTTGAGGCTGAGATTTGAGTGCCAACTAAAAGGATTCCTGGTCTCTGCTGGGGAGAGGTGTGAGAGTTGAGTGGAACAAAACCAAAAAGGGGGTTGCTGGATGAGATTTCAGGAGCAGAAAGGTGGGGAGCAGGGAGCTAGTTTCAGGGGCTGATTTAAGCACATTTTGCATGTGGGAGGCCTAAACTTGACCCCCAGCAGTGTGTCTGGTCCCTTGAGCATCCCCAGAAGGGACACCCTGAGCACAAAGCTGGGAGTAGCCCCTGAGCACTGCCAGGTGTAACCCCCAAATCAAACAATAACTGAGGGCCGGAGGGATGATTCAATAGGCTGAGCTCAGACTTTTCAAGAAGAAATCCAGAACTTTAGAAGAACAGCAGCAGCAAAGCATGTTTCCCTGGGCACTGGCAGAAGGGACCCTCAGCAAAACCAGGAGGAGCCCCAAACATTGCTGGGTGTGTGGCCCCCTAAAAAAGAGATTGAGAGATTCCAGAAGTCAGGGATGGAATACTCCTGTCACAAGGTGACCTTAGACAAGCATCCAGCTGCTGAATACAGGCAGGCCACAGCTCCCTGATGCCCCGCCCCCGACCCCCCACCCCCCACCCCCGTGCTATTTCCCCACCTAAGCACCAGCACAGGAGGCGGCTGCATAGACCGATGAGGTCTGGTGCCATCCTTTATGCCCAAGAGCCCCAAGCCTTGAAACCACAAGGCAGAAAGTGTCCTTCTCACGCCTCCAAACAAGGGACTGTTGGCTCTGGTGGTGGGGGGAAGGGGGCGGTGGGGGGGGGGGGTCCAGACCTGAAGGCACAAGGAAAGTGACTAGAGTATGGGAGCTGCCCCAGCCTAAGAACCTTCCAGATCCTCCCTGAAGCCTCTGAGTCAGAGCTGTCTCCTTCTGTGCGATGTGGATGTGCTTGAAGCACCTGGCTGATTAACACCACACCCAAGTGGCTCTGCCCGTCCCCCCCACCTCTGCCACACTCCACTCTACCCTCCCCCCACACACACAAGCCAGGAAGCTGGTGAGGGAGGATCCAGGCTCCCACCTAACCCATGGAGAATATCTCTAGGGACACCAACTCTGGGCCGCCCTCCAGGATACCCAACTGCTAAATAGTCCAAGGAGGGCAAACAGCCATTCCCTCTAATGGCTCCACCCTAACTTAGCTCTCTCTGGCTTTGCACTCTGGCACATGTGCTCTGCATCACACACACACATGTGTGCGCTCTCTCTATCTCTCTCACTCTCTCTCTCTCTCTCTCTCTCTCTCACACACACACACACACACACAGACAAGCTACAGCGGGACTCTGGTGCCCCTTCTATGAGCCTCCACGGGGCAGACATGAAGAGGCACGCATTTCTGAGGCGTCTCCTCCATCCAGGGGGACATGGAAGTCATGCCCTCCTGGCTGGCGGGCCACAGCAAGGGCATCTGCTCCGGCTTGCAAAGCAGGTTTCTTCTAGCTACTGGCTCGACTGTCTGAGGACAACCCCGGGCCGCTGGTTGGCATAAACAGAAAGAACAATCATGACAAACAGCAACGGTGACTGGGTGGGATCCTCCTCTCCTCACCCCATACAATGAGCTCCCTGTCAGTAGTGCTGTTCCCACTGGGATGTAAACTGACACCCCAAGGGGCTTACACAACTTTGGGCCACACCCAATGGTGCTCAAAACTTACTCCTGACTCCTGACTCTGTGCTCAGGGATTACTCCTGGTGGTGCTCAGGAAACCATACA